GCTTGCTCTACCTCTCTTTTATAGGTTCTGTCTGCCAGATGCAACTCTTGTGCCTCTAGACAGCTCCGCAGGTCTTAATTTCTCATGGTGTTAGGGTTCTTAGAATATTCAATTGCTACAACAATATAATCAAACTTAGGAGTAAGAGACCTATGTACCTTTTCAATAATAACTTGTTCAGAGAGCATTTCTCCACAAGCCTTCACCTCATTTGTGATCAAAATCACTTTAGAGATGTAATCAAGTAACTTCTCATTTTTCTTTATGTTAAGATTATCATACTGAGTACTTAGAGATTGAAGCTTCACCTTCTTCACTAATGCATCACTGACATATCACTATACTAGTGTGTCCCACGAAACCTTCATCGTCGTTGAATCAACGATTTTCTCAAATACGTTTGAATCCACACACTGATGGATGTAGAACAATATCTTTGATCATTCTTCCTCCTGTCTCTTTGCGGTTTTTTTCTTTCGTTGTTGCATCTGCTGCCACAAGAAATAACTTGTCTCATAGGAAAAACAGAAGAACGCTAGCTTATAGAAAAATATCTTCTAACTAACAGCCTCATAAGCTTCTCACTCTAACATAAGCTTTTAAACAACTACTTCTAAATAGGAATTACTTCTAACACACTGTATATATTGGAAGCTATCTTGTGAAACCCTCTACATCCAATAAGAATATGAAAACCGTCATAACTTGTCATTAAATAAGAAACCTTTGTTCCTGGGATGGATTTCGAGTGAAGAAAAAATTCGATCCAAGTTGGTGTTCTTACATCATATCTTCTTTTTTAACTGGAATATAATTTTATGTTATGTATATAACTTTTTTATGTTATTTTAAAAATTATATCCGTGCAAAATCATTGAACTTAAAAAGCAATGAGTATATTTGGATTTATTTAAAATGATGATTATGATGTTGATGAATCATGTTTGTCATAAAATTGTGCTTGTATTTGTATTTGAATTTTTATTTGTATTTATACTTGAGTTTAGGGCTTAAAACAATGTAATTTAATATTTAGTGTAAACAAACAATGTAATTTATATATGGTCATTTCAAATCAGTGGCTAGACATAGAGTTGTTACAGGTTTGGTACACATAAGTATATAAAGTTGAATATCTCATTATGGTACATTCATTGTTTTGTATAGAAATAATTTCTTAATTTTTTTTTATATTTTTGTTTAACCATTTAGGTACATTCACCATGTTTAAATATAACTAAATAAATCAGCTACTTATGGATTATTGAAACATACATAACATCACAGTTAGATGGGAGAAAAGACAGTTACTTAGCTCCATTTTTCCACGGGTGAGTAATTTTAAAATTGTGGTCTCCCTATCATAGTTAGTTTCCATATTTTACCAAATACGAATTATATATGATTGTGTTTATTTATTGAAAATTTGAATTGATCATAATATTTCTTCAGACGAATATGGTAACTACATTGTATTTGTTACACCATCCACTTGAAATTAGGATGCAACAAATTACTACTACATAACTTTATGTTAATGAGACTTTTAGTAATATTTTCTTTGACTTTGTAATTCGTTTAGTGTGTAACATTTTAAATCATCTTCAATATACAAGGTTGTAAGCGACACTATTATATGAATAATTCTAGAAAAAAACTCACATTTTGTGAGCCCAAGGTAAGTAGATTACTTGTGATATTCATTTATATATATAGTTACATGCATGTGTGGTTATATATTCATGAAATGTTTAAATTTGTAGACAAGGATACAAACAGAGGGATACTAATATGGGTATTATATAATGAAACACATGTTAAACATTGTCTCTGCCGACATTGTTGATTCTTGGGATCAGGTATATATTATGTCATGAAATATTTTCAATAATATATTAATTTTTATGTTTGCTATTGTGAGGGAAAGATTCATGTTTTTATGATGTCAAAACCTCTCCTACCCTCAATGACATGTTTGGTACTTAAATGATACTTGGGACAAAGAGTGAAATGCAAGCCTAAATGAAAATAACCTTTTTGGCAGGAAAAACAAAGACTGTGTCGATGCAAAACTAGCTTCAGTCGACTCAAACCTGTGTGTTTCTCCCTGGATGTGTTGCGCCGACCCTTTGGTCGACTCAACCTGTTTATCAAATAAAATTGAAGTTTGCGTCGATGCCACCCCCTGGTGCGGTCGACGCATTCAATCTGTTTGGCTCATGTTCTTTATACGGGTTGTGGTGCGCCGACCCAAGACTCTGGTGCGGTGGATGCATTCAATATTTTTGGCTCATCTCCTTGGCACGAGTTGTGTTGCGCCGACCCAAAGCTCTGAAGCAGTCGACCGTTCACTTAACATTCTCAAAATTCCGTTTGTCTTATTTTCTTTTCTTTCTCAGATATTATTGGTTTTTCACTAACACATATAAATAGAGTTTAGATTTCTTTTGAGCAGTCAACAAGAACTAGTGAAAGATACACATAGTGCTCAATATCTTCATCCTCTCTTCTCAAAAATCAACATCAACACATAATCGTGGTTGTTGATTCAAGAAAATTGATGTGGTGATAACGTTCAAATCAAGGATTCAATTCAGATTTGGGTTGAGCAATTGTGGATGTTCTTGAATAAAATCATTTGGATTTTCTCCTCCAAGATTCTTATTGGTTCGGGGGTTTTGCACAAGTCTTTGCTTCATTGAATTCAACCGAGTCAAATGATTAAGAAACTGTGGGTTTTCTTAATCAAGTAGCGGTAACCGGAGGATTGTGAAGATTGATTTGGGGTTAAATTGCTTGCGGTCAAAATCAGCCGAGTGAAAGGATTAAGAAACAGTGGGTTTACTTAATCAAGTAGCGGTAACCGGGGGTTTGTTCGAAGAATTTGGCACTTGGTTTTGCTCAAACCAAGGAAAGGGCAGAAGATTGTTACATCAGCAACATTGGTTTGTTTGTATTGTGAACTATCTCTTCTCTTGTAACATTTGCAACTTAATATTAAGTATCTCAATTCTAGATTCTAGAATTGGGGGAAGATGTACCCTACGCGAGGACGACAAGGGGAACTACCTTAACAAATCGTGTGTTCTTCTTCTTTTTCTTTATCTCCATACTTGATAAATATAATTTGTGAAAATTAATTTGTCAAATTTGCATGTACTGAAATTATGGTGTGTTGAGATCATTTCACAATATTGGTAACAATCCTTTTGATTGATACCCAAGAAAATTCACCACTACAATTTAGTAAAATCAAACCTTAGGTGCTTTACTCATAAGGTGTTTGACAAATTAACTAATCCACATATTATTCATTGTGTTTAGCTTTATCTCATTCAACTCATTGGAAGTAATTCATATTCATTGAGGGTGTATAAGTGATTGATCAATTGAGTAAAACACATTGACTCTTACTTTGTCATTCTATCTCATACGGTTACGCATATCCGATCTTTTCAATAGAGGATTGTTTAGACGATTGGAGATTCTGGGAGCTTTCGCATAAATTTCTTAAAAATAATTTTAAAAAGCACAAATTATTTTAAACGATCTATTCAACCCCCCTTTTAGATTGATCACATCGTCTAACAACTATTATATTTCAAATCACGTGATATTCAGTTTTCTTCACTTTTTATGTAGACGTTTAAGGACCGGACACCTTTCTCCCCCAATGACTTATTAGACATCTGTATACGTTGAGCGTTTATTTTCAACGTGGTAGTTGTAAAGGGTGCTAATGTATGACTTTGGATTTGATGTTTGCAAATATATGATTTTGACTTAATTTGACGTTTGTAAATATGACAATGGTGTATATATATATATATATATATATATATATATATATATATATATATATATATATATATATATATATATATATATATATATATATATATATATATATATATATATATATATATATATATATATATATATATATATATATATATATATATATATATATATATATATATATATATATATGTTTGTAAATAGTATTTTTAGCTTTAATGTAAAATATATTTAGGTAATATATGTATTAAATACAATTACAAAAAAAATACAAGTTTGTAATATATGGAAAAATAAAATAAAAATAAAGTATTTCACTATGGTTATTTATAATAATTGTTGTGATAAGTAGCGCATCAAATATTATATACTATACAATAATTGATTTCAAATTCATGACCTTTATAAATATCACAAGAGTTGTTTAAGATAACCCGTGTGATATGTAGCGCATTACCTAATTTATCACAATAGTCACTAGTCCATAATGGAAAATATTATACTTACAATCATCCCTACTTCATAAGAGTTAGTCAACCATAATAATATCTCTTTTTTAACCGTTATAAAATGTGCTTGACTTTTGTAAATTTCACTCTTAGAGTATATTTGTATATCAAAATTACATTTTATCCAACCCATTTCATTTTCAAATAACAAATTGAAGGTTAAAGATAAGTTTGTTAATGGGTACACAAATTTATTAACAATTTCTCTTAAAAAACGAGATTTTACCAAATAATTCATTATATACTATTTTCACTCATAATTGATTTTAGATGTGTCGAATAGATTTTGATATGTTTAAATGTTCTTGAATAAAATTAATTATACTTTTTTAAAAATTAATTTTGATGTTAGGGTTGATAATTATTGAGTGTCTAATTGTAATTTTTATATTAAAATATATATTGTTTAATTCACTTTTATAAAAATTTATAAAAATATAAATTATTCTACCTATAACTCATTTATAGTCTAAATTAATTTACTCGATTAATTTTTCGCATAATGAAACACACTCCAACAACTTAGAATTCCATTCCTCAAAAGACATTCCATGATTCTAAATGCACTTTACTTCTAAGGCATAATTCATTCTCTCTCTATAAAATCATCTCTAATTCTTCTATAACCTCTTATCATTAGAACCCTCATTTGGCACAAAACCAACACAATTTTCTCCATCTTCTCACAAAAATATGCATCTACAAACTCCAATTATCACACTTTTCATGATCCTAAGCAAGTTCTCTTACATAGTGGAACCACTGGATCAAACAAATTCTGAACACTACTACCATGTACATGATGGAAGATTGATGAAAACAAAACATCAACATTTTGGTCACATAACAAAGACCAATAGAGATAACCTTTTCTCTTCAAAGTCTCGAGGAATGGTTAATGTTGATGACTTTGGAGCCAAAGCAGATGGAAGAGATGATAGGGAGGTAGGTAATAGAATTTTTTTTATGGTAATTAATTTCATGACACCATTCTTCAACCTTTGTCACTTGTCACTTTTTCACTTGATTTAATTTGTTCTTAAGGCATTTAACAAGGCATGGAATGAAGCATGTTCCAAAGGATCTATTCTTATTGTACCAAAAAATAGGATATATCGTCTCAAACCAATAACTTTTTCAGGTCCATGTCAACCAAAAACTGCTGCCTTTGTCTATGAGAACGGTTTTCAGACTAGCTGGATGAATCTTGATCTTAATTTATTTTTTCTCTTCTTGTTTATAACAGACATGCAATGATGAACCAAGACCACAAGTAAGATCATAATATTCTTCAAACAATAAAGTTTTACAACAATTATTTCTTTTCTAATAGATTCATGGAAAAAAATCATGAAGGCAGTGACATTCCATGGTTGCAAGAATTTGAGAGTGAAGAATATAAGGTTCAAAGATGCACAAAAAATGCATGTATCATTTGAGAGATGCTTCAATGTGTTTGTTTCGAATCTGGTTGTGAGAGCACCAGGAAATAGCCCCAATACTGATGCTTCATGTCAACACAGGGTGGTTCAGGATATGCAAGAAACATCAAATTTATGGACATAGAAATGCAAAACGTCACAAATCCAATAATAATAGATCAATCCTACTGTGATGAAACAAAACCATGTAAAGAGCAGAACAAAGGCGTGCAATTAAGTCATGTGCTGTACCAAAACATAAGCGGAACAAGTGCTTCAGAAGTAGCTATCACATTTGAGTGCAGCAAAATCGTTCCTTGCAAATAAGTCTACTTGCAGGATGTGATTTTAGAACAAGAAGGAAGTGGAGGCACCACGGCTACATGTAAGAATGTTAAATATGTAAATACAGGAAAGTTTTATCCTCAATGCTCTCCTGTTTGAACAGATCAGGCATTAGGTTGTTGTCAATTTGGATAAACTTGTCCACAAATTGATAAATCAGGATTACACAGAAATAGACATGTTACAATATTTAGAATTTTTAAAATATTAACTAATCTTTTTTATCAACTTGATGTGTTAGTTATATTCACGCTAATTTATCAAATAATGTTGTCAAATGATTGTATAATAGACAATGGCTTATACTCTTTACTTTAAATTAATTGAGTTACCTCTTCCCCTCAAAACAAAAACTAAGTTGTAGAAGTTATAATTAAAAATAACCATGTCATTTTTCCTAACTCTAAATTCTTTTTAAATATTGTTAAATATTGTCAACTTAGGTAATGGTTATAACTTCTATTTGCACTGTGCCAGACAACATATCTATTAATGTGTGAAAATTTATTGGAGATAAATGTATTAAAGTGGTTTATCAAACTCTTTAATGAAATTATGAAGTCAAAGAAAATGTCTAACGAATAAAGAAAAAACACATTAATTTCATTCTATAAGAACAAAGGAGATATACAAATTGTGCATATTATAAGGAAATTAAACTTATGAGTTATATCATGAAATTCTGGAAAAAAGTGACTGAACGAAGTCTAAGAAAAGAGACTCAAGTCACTAAGAATCATTTTGGTTATGTCTGGGGAGGTTGGCAATTAATGCAATCTATCAACTACGATGTGTTATGGAGCAGTATCAGATAGACCAACAAATCATGTATTAAATTTTTAATGACTTGGAGAATGCATATGTTAGAATGCCTAGAGAGATTTTGTGGAAAGCCTTGTAGAAGAAAGATGTTAGGATTATATATATTTGAGTTATCCAAGATACGAATGAAGGGGTATCGTGTAGTATCCAGTGAAAGTTGAAGACCTTGGCGACGATAACATGGATGATAAAGTATCAGACGGTTTCAAAGATAGTTTGATAATCCACTACAATATTGTGTCAGTTATGCCCAATGGATATGGGTTTCCCTCAGAGGCATCTGTGGATGAGGAAGAAGACATGTGTGAGGAATCAACTGGTCAAAAACCTCTGTGTTACTATGTCATGAAAAATGGGGTGGTAGAAGAGCAATATGCAACGTTTGAGAAACCTACATCAGACATGAAATATCATCTCAAACCTTTGTTCATAAGGGGTAAGGTTGATGGATTTCCTGTGAACAAGGTACCTGTTGATGGTGGCGCTGCCATTAATTTGATGCCACAATCATTGTTGAAGAAAATTGGTAAGTTCGACACAGGCCTTAAACCACACAATATGGTCCTGTCAAATTATGAAGGAAAGACAAGTCACATATTGGGTGCGATTCAAGTAAATTTGTCAGTTGGCTCGACTTCAAGGCTAACATTATTCATGGTGATAGCGTCCAAGGAAAATTTCAACTTGTTGTTGGGGCGTGAGTAGATACATGGAATACATGGAATAGGGGCGGTGCCATCGACCATGCATCAATGTGTGTCCATATGGCGTTAGAATGAGATCGTCGAAAACATAGAGGAAGATCATAACTATTTTACTATTGATGTGAAGGTGGTGAATCCAAAGAATTTTGACAAAGCATTTGCAACTATACCACTGTGCGACCCAGGAGGTGTGTGAAGGTGGTGAATAGAGAGCGAGAGAGAGAGAGAGAGAGAGAGAGAGAGAGAGAGAGAGAGAGAGAGAGAGAGAGAGAGAGAGAGAGAGAGAGGTGGGGGGGGAGAGAGATAACGATATAGAGAGAGATAGTGAGAGAGAGAGAGAGAGAGTGTGTGTGTGTGTGTTTGTGTGTGTGTTTGTGTTTGTGTGTGTGTGTGTGTGTGTGTGTGTGTGTGTGTGTGTGTGTGTATTTGTGTGTGTATGTTGGTGTAGATCATGTAGTATAAAAGATCCTGAAAAATATACTTAGATGGTTTGAGCATGTAAAGATAAGACACGTAGATTATGCGATAAGAAGAGTATATCAAAAAGGAAAGGTAAAATAACTAGAGGTAAAGGAATACCTAGAAAAATTATAGGATAAGTTATTAATAATTATAATAAGATTAACCATTTTGATAGAAGCATACACATAGATATAGATCATTGTGGCGAAAGTTGATCCATGTAACCAATCCTACTTAGTAGAATAAGGCTTGTTTTTTTTATTGTATAAATCTAATCTAACTAACTACAAAATATGTATATCTACTTAAGTGTATGTGATACTGTTGGTGGCTTAAATAGGATTACACAAACAAACTAAGGGTCTGTTTGTTTTGGCTTTTTTTTAAAATGATTTGGATCTTACCGGTTGATCAGAACCTGAAAGTGGGCCGAAGGATAACGTCTGCTAGGATGGAAATTTGAGGAGGAGGAGGGGGTGTACCTGCAAGGCACTCCGTCAATCAAGTAATAATGGATCCAAAGAGATACAAGAAAGATATTAGGGTTTTCAGAGTGAATACTGGATATATGGCCCTCACAAGTGTGAGGGTTTATATAATTCCCCCGATGCTTGGCCATTGGTTCCTATTTTTAGGCCTCGTTATTAGGTTCCTCAAAAATAGGTAGTTGTCAGGACTTAGTCCAAATGGAAAGTCATGCTCGTAACTAGTCGTTTCTCTGAGCAAGAAAGAGATTACGGGAAAATGTGTTATAAGCATTTTCCTTGTTGTTTGCTCTTCGTGCATTGAGTAGATCGAGATGTGGCTATCGATGCAGACAGACGTATGTCTTAGGCATCATTGATCTCGTTGTCCACGGGGTGTAGTCGACCAGGTATGCCCAACGGAAGGGCCGATGTTAATGGGCAACCATTGTTGGGCCATGTAGAAGGTAGAAGCGGATTGTGCCAATTATAGCTGTTGGGCCAGTCCAGAATAGGAGCCCCCCAAGTCGTTGCTCCTAGAGGAAGGAGTGATGACTTAGAGTTAACTCGTGTGTCAAGGAGGTGGCACTGCTTTTGGTGCTCGTCGTAGGAGACGAGGACGCTTCAGGGTGCGTTCGGGGGAAACTATGTCGGGAGGCCTGAACATGGTCTCTTGTGTTCGGCGTGCGGGGAGCTGAATGATTGATTAGACTATGAGAGATAGTGTGAAATACTTGCATCGAGCCACGTGCTATCATTAATTCATAATAATGGCAAGCCTAAGGACTGGGGCATAATGATGACGACCCCTAAGCTTCCCTAGGCGCGTGCTCGCTCACGTGCTAACTAAGCTGCCAATAAATATGGCAGAGAGGAAGCTTCATTTGTACTTTTCGCTTGCTTTCTCCTAATCATTTTTGCTAGTTCTACAAAGCGCTGCCGCTCACCGCTGAAGTTTCTGCTCATTCCACCGTTAATCCTCCCTGACCAAGTAAGTTTCTTAATTTTCCCTTTGTTTATGTGAAATTCGTCTCTGTTCTAGGTTAGATTTTAGGATTTTGCTTTTAGAGATGCATGTGGTTAGGATTAAAGTAGCTTTAGTGCTAAAATTTCTAGTGGTTTTCTGGCGTCTGACAGTGGTTCTACCACATAAGGAGGCCGACTCTGGCGTGAATCCTTTGGGAAAGTGCGGTGTTAGGGTTGATAACGGCAAGTTGGGTTGAGTTTTCCGGCGAAGTTGGGCCATTTCTAGGCATTTGTTATTATCTTTATGCGTTTCTGATGAACCCTCAAGTAAGGTTTAACCCAATCGTCGGGGAGACTACTCCTCGTGCAGGTTAGGGTTTAGCCTGGTGGACAGGCGCCTAACGTATTAGAGAGAAATCTTCATTATGTCAGTTTCTTGTTGTTTTAAGTGAGGGCTCTGGTCGGGGACAGGGTCCTAGTTCCTTTGTGTGCCCTTTCAGTTGATTACCGGTGGAAGGGTGAATTTGATTTGATGTCGAATTCACTTTTGTCCTCTACTTTTCAGGTAAAACCGAAGACGAAGTTATGAGAGAGCAAAGTGATTCCGAATAGAGTTTGTCTGAGCATACTTCAACCAAAGAGGGTACGTCGGGGCAACATGATTTTGAACCGAGCACTTCGGGACAAAATGCAATTGAGCATAATGTGCCTGAGGCACCCGTGGCTTTCATGGAATGATTCACACCGGGTCCTTACGAGATTACCTCCTACTTCACCGAGCACTCGGAGGAAGTGTTCACAGTTGTTGCCCGGGGATGGAGTGAGAGAGTGCTGAGAAGGAATGGATTGTTTATGTCCCCGAGAAACGTCACCGTATCTGCTCGAAGTACGTCATAAATCATTTCCCTACGTACGAGATTATTTTCAGAGACTTGTGTCATACGGAGGGAGAACGGATTGTTATATTGGTTATGCGTTTGTATTCGCAAGCAAGAGTCGCCACTGACTTTTCTTTTATCCAACAAAGGAAAGGGTGAAAAGAACAGGAAAAAAAACCTTTCGAGAGTTTTCTGAGTAACGGGGGTAGATTATGGAAAGGGAAGGTGTTAGCACCATTTTCATCCGTAGTTATCTACGTGCTCTTAGATGCTTAGCTCATTTTTGAAATACATTTGTGCTTTGTGTGTTTTTTGAAAATAAGTTTGAAAGTTCCTTAGTGCGGCAATTTGCTTTGTGATAACTCTTGTATCAGTCCTCAAGAGTGTTGACAAAGCAAATATTTTTGAAAGTTGTTTTTTGAAAATGTAAGTGTAAAAAGTTGTTTTGAGCAAGCATCTAAGAACTTATCTACTTATACTCGAAAAGGTCATTCTTTTCTCCCTATCCTTTAGACAGTGTTATCCTACTATTAATGAGTAGGTAGCCCTACCGTTGGATGTATGAGGGACTGGCGCGAGTCATCGTTATGGTCATAGAAGGCAACATATATGGATACTTTAGCAATTCGAAGGGACTGTTATCATATATTCGTAGGAAACATCGAGGGACAAGATTATTTCTCATAGGCAAATCGAGGGACATTAAGGGACTATGATCTTTATGATGACTTTAACCAAGGGTCTTTGCTAAGAGTATCCCTACGTTCAAGGGACATGGCCATTTTTTTCCGAAGGCAACAAGT